GAGACATTTTTTTAACCTCATTTTACCCAAGCTGGTAATATAACACTGATAATCTTACTTCATGTATCTCTCTATATCTATTTTTTTTTTTCTACGCAACATATTCTTATTATATAACTTAATGTATAGTCATTACAATATACTAGATATCTCAAGGTCTCCCCCTTTGGAATGACAAAGCTTTCGAAATGCGAACTCGGTTGGCAAAGCTCCAAGACATACTGAGGAGGTCTTACAGGAGTGCCAGGACCATGAATAGTGTTTGTGTGTACTTGTATCTCTTCCCCGTGACGGTGCAAAGGCGTATATCTTTGAGGGTGTAACGGCATTTGTGAGGAATGCTTGTGTTATTCTGCTATGGAAAACTGGCTGATAGATGGGAGAGAGAGAGAGAGAGAGAGAGAGAGAGAGAGAGAGAGAGAGAGAGAGAGAGAGAGAGAGAGAGAGAGAGAGAGAGAGAGAAACAGAGAAAGAGAGAGACAGAGAGGGAGAGAGAGAGAGAGAGAGAGAGAGAGAGAGAGAGAGAGAGAGAGAGAGAGAGAGAGAGAGAGAGAGAGAGAGAGAGAGAGAGAGAGAGAGAGAGAGAATCTATTCGGTTTAGATAATAAGCACTTCTAAGAAATATCGAGGCATCAAGATCGTCAGGAAAATTCCAGTAAAGGTTAGTCATCCCATTAATATGGCTGTACCGGCAGTTGTCAGATATGCTACTCGTTATTAGATCGTTATTATATCTCATTTTCATTCTCCGTGCTTTTATCCTGCAGGTAAATCGCTTTCCTCATCTTCTTTCAACTTTTATGTTGGTTTTATCATTTTTATTGGTATTAGTTTATATGCCACTCTCTATTCTGGTCGAAAAACACTTTAATCGCCAATTTTCTACAATTTTATTATCATTATTTTCTTACGATGCTCCCCACCCTTACCCTCCCGCTTCCTTTATCATCAAACATCTCATTTCTCTGTTGCTTTATTCTCACTTTTTTTCTCTCTCCTCATTCTTACACACCTTCTCCCCAAGCCTTGCTTAAGGATCACCTCCTTCATCACTCAGCCATCCTTAGGGTCAGTGTCCTATAGGCAGGGTACCCACTGTAAGATCCCAGCCCTTGATAAGCCTTTCTGATATTTTTTAATATTTTGTTTTATTTGAGGATTCCGTTTCTGAGAAAGGATTATATGCTCTTTTATACCCTTGACTAAGTATGGGCTTATATTTCGTTTCATACGAACGTAGCATATTTTGTAAAATCTTTGAACGAAATTGTTATGTCATTATCATAACCGTACGTTATGGTCGGCTCTGGGGGATGCTATTCAGTGTCGAGACGTGGGAAAATTGCGTTGTTAACTTCAGGTTATTATTCTTTCTAACTTAATCAAGATGAAAACAAGTAAAAATGTATATATATATTATGATCATATCGGAGTTAATTAGTAACTTCACTTCCGATCTTGCTCAACGAACTATTATTTTCACCGTGAATTTCATTACATGCCGCAGAGAAGTTATGATTCATACATTACAGACAAAAATGATATACTGTATGAAGATATCGTTTCATTCGAGTTGCAATAATGGTCATTCTGTAGGTTATTAACCTGTTCTTTTGATGGAATTGGGGCCATAAATATCTAGATCAGTTTTGATATTTTTAGACATACATTCATTTGCGGGTAAATGTTCACAGGGACCATGAAAGACCATGGTAAATCTCGTCGACATGAATAATCTGTTGATGATTGAAGTCGATGTTGCTTTGCACAATGAGAAATCATCGCATGAGATTTACAAGGATTAACCTCCGCCTTCATTTTTTTTAACCATGATTGCGTTCTCTCACTTTCACACTTAAGCAGTTTCAAGACCATGAACCTTTCGAATGTATGTACTCTCTTGTTGACGCACCATCTGCTGACGAACCAAGGAGTAACAGGTAAACTGGCATGTACCTGTTAAGAAAACCCCTGAAAAGGATCTCTGGTCTTCTCATGAAACAAAAGAATTGCTTAAGTGCTAACCCGGGCACGGAAGCCTCTGAGCTATCATGCCGGGGAAGTGATGCCGGTCTTATGTATAAACCCCACGTGTTTCTACGGTTCAGATGTGTTTGAATATTAGTGTACTTTTTTTTGTTTCCTTGTATTAAAACCGACGAACTGATAAAAGAATGGAATTTCGAAGGAGAGAAAGAGATAATAATGGGTAAAGCATGGAAGAGTGCTGCCCTAAGGAGACAGTCGCTGGAACCTCAAGACTGGAATGCCTCGTTGCCAGGCGTACGACTAATTCTTCGGCTTTATTACCAGTACTCTATTATAAACGATATAATGAGAGTATTGTATTGATTGGTAATACTTTAGTTATGAATGACAAAAAGATACCATCAATAATTTTCTTGTTTTTTTTATATCTCGCCGACATTATGAAACTTGTCATCGCCGTACGAGATTAGCGGCAAGTGTCAAGTCCATTGAGCAGGTCCCTTCAGTTCTT